TTTGTGACCGGATTTGTGACAGGATTTCGGGTGGGGTCTGAGTGGGATTTGGACGGGATTTGTGACGGGCTTTGTGACAGGATTTCGGGTGGGATTTGTGACAGGATTTCGGGTGGGATTTGTGACAGGATTTGGGGTGGGGTCTGTGACCGGATTTGCGACAGGATTTGCGACAGGATTCGGGTGGCGTTTGTGACCGGATTTGGGTGGGATTTGGGGTGGGGTCTGTGACCGGACCCGCGGGGGCTCCTGCAGCCCCTCACCTGGGCGAGGTCCACGGGCAGCCCCCCCCGGGCAGCCCCCAGCAGCCCCTGCACGGCCTTGGCGCGGCGCAGCAGGGCCTTGGCTCCCTGCAGGTCCTGGCGGCGCTTGGCGCGCAGCGCGGCCTGCGCCAGCTGCCGGCGCCGCAGCTCCAGGAACGCCAGCTGCTGCTGGGCTGGGGGCAGGGGGGACCCTCACCCGCCTGGGAGGGGGCTGGGACACCCACCCCCGCCTTTCGGGTGGGATTTGGGACAGATTTTGGACAGGATTTGTGGCAGGATTCGGGTGGGATTTGTGACAGGATTTGTGACAGGATTTGGGGTGGGATTCAGGTGGGATCTGTGACAGGATTTGCGACAGGATTCGGGTGGGATTTGGGACAGATTTTGGACAGGATTTGTGGCAGGATTCGGGTGGGATTTGTGACAGGATTTGTGACAGGATTTGGGGTGGGATTCAGGTGGGATCTGTGACAGGATTTGCGACAGGATTCGGGTGGGATTTGGGACAGATTTTGGACAGGATTTGTGGCAGGATTCGGGTGGGATTTGTGACAGGATTTGTGACAGGATTTGGGGTGGGATTTGGGTGGGATCTGTGACAGGATTTGCGACAGGATTTGTGACAGGATTTTGGGTGAGATCTGAGTGGGATTTGTGACAGGATTTGGATGGGATTTGGGATGGATTTCGGACAGGATTTAGGATGGGATTTGGGAAGGATTTGGGATGGATTTTGGATGGGATTTGCGACAGGATTTGGATGGGATTTGGGATGGATTTCGGACAGGATTTAGGATGGGATTTGGGAAGGATTTGGGATGGATTTTGGATGGGATTTGCGACAGGATTTGGATGGGATTTGGGATGGATTTCGGACAGGATTTAGGATGGGATTTAGGAGGGACTTGGGATGGATTTTGGATGGGATTTGTGAGAGGATTTGGGTGGGATTTGGGATGGATTTTGGGTGGTATTTGCAACAGGATTTTGGGTGGGATTTGTGACGGGATTTGTGACAGGATTTCGGGTGGGATTTGTGACAGGATTTGGGGTGGGGTCTGTGACCGGATTTGCGACAGGATTTGCGACAGGATTCGGGTGGCGTTTGTGACCGGATTTGGGTGGGATTTGGGGTGGGGTCTGTGACCGGACCCGCGGGGGCTCCTGCAGCCCCTCACCTGGGCGAGGTCCACGGGCAGCCCCCCCCGGGCAGCCCCCAGCAGCCCCTGCACGGCCTTGGCGCGGCGCAGCAGGGCCTTGGCTCCCTGCAGGTCCTGGCGGCGCTTGGCGCGCAGCGCGGCCTGCGCCAGCTGCCGGCGCCGCAGCTCCAGGAACGCCAGCTGCTGCTGGGCTGGGGGCAGGGGGGACCCTCACCCGCCTGGGAGGGGGCCGGGGGACCCTCACACTGCTGGGGGGGGTATGGGACCCTCACCCGCCTGGGAGGGGGCTGGGACCCTCACCCTGCTGGGCTGGGGGCAGGGGGGACCCTCACCCGCCTGGGAGGGGGCCGGGGGACCCTCACCCACCTGGGAGGGGGCCGGGGGACCCTCACCCGCCTGGGAGGGGGCTGGGACCCTCACCCGCCTGGGAGGGGGCTGGGACCCTCACCCTGCTGGGCTGGGGGCAGGGGGGACCCTCACCCGCCTGGGACAGGGCCGGGGGACCCTCACCCGCCTGGGATGGGGGCAGGGGGGACCCTCACCCGCCTGGGATGGGGGCAGGGGGGACCCTCACCCGCCTGGGACGGGGGCAGGGGGGACCCTCACCCGCCTGGGACAGGGTATGGGACCCTCACCCACCTGGGAGGGGCCAGGGGGACCCTCACCCACCTGGGACAGGGTATGGGACCCTCACCCACCTGGGATGGGGTAGGGGGACCCTCACCCACCTGGGAGGGGGTCACGGATGTCAGGGGGTGCCCTCCCCCCCATGCCCACCCCCAGCCCCCCCTGTACCTTTTCCAGCAGCTTTGGGAGCCGGCTGGGAATTCCGGGGGGGTTGTTTGGGAGGGGGCACAGGGGCAGCGCTGGGCTGGACCTGGAGGGGGGGATGGTGTCAGTAAAAAAAATCCCTGGGAATGTCCCCCCAAATTCCCTGGAGCCCCAAATCCCACCTTGGTGCTCTCCTCTTCCTCCTCCTCCTCCTCCTCCTCCTGCTGCTGCTGCTCCGTCAGCCTCAGGGCCGCCTCCAGCATCCCAGAAATGCTGGGCTCTGCTGAGCCCTCCGTGCCCTGGATGGGGGGGCAGCCTGCAAGAGGGGGGGGTCCCGGTGGCGCTGGGACCTTGGCCACCCCCGGTGTGCCCCCCCGGGGTGGGGGACGGGGACAGGGAACGTACCCGGGGGCACCGGCAGCTCCGAGAGATCCACGGCTCTGCCCGCGCTGTGGGCACGGAGGGCGGCCTCGTATTGCTGGGGAGGGGGCACGGGGGTCAGGGGGCACTGGGAGCACTGGGAGCACTGGGGACAGACTGGGACAGACTGGGAGCACTGGGAGCCAGACTGGGAGCACCCACAGGGAGGGACTGGTGTCACTGTGGGGGGAAACTGGGAGCAGGATATCCCTGGTATTGCTGGGGAGGGGGCACGGGGGTCAGGGGGCACTGGGAGCACTGGGAGCACTGGGACAGACTGGGAGCACTGGGAGCCAGACTGGGA